ACCCAGTGGTCGAGTGGTAGCGTATCGCTCTTCCACACCACAGGTCTGAGTTTTATTCCCGAGCTGGGCAAAGTAGATTCAGCCTTTCATCCCTACTACAGTGGGTCGATAAATGAGTACCAAGCTTGCTTGGGGACTTAAGCACTGGGGGTCTCGCTTCAGGCTGATCACCTGATCGGGACATCTGCTCTTGCACCTCAGCGCCCATTGGTCACGTATACTAGGATGGGCACAGTAGGCTCTGGCCCTCATAGGCTGTTGCGCCACTGAGTTTGAATATTCATCCACTCAAGTTCAAATACATTTTTTTAAACCTGTAGTGGATGACACTTGATATTAATACAGTTTTTTCAAGTATTAATTCATTAATTAAATGTAATTGATAAATAAATAGTAACAAGCAAAAATAATAGTCTAACACCATATATCAAAAGGAAAATCGCTTGCTGTGTCCCTGTAGCGCAATGTATAGCGTGTTGGACTTCTAATCCAAAGGTGTTGGATTCGAATACCACATGGGATAGCGTAATTTCTGAGAATATGATTTCTTTTTACTGTACTATTTTATTGAAACCCAGTGGCTGAGTGGTTAGTGCATCGCGCTTCCACACCACAGGTCCGACGTTCAAACCCCGGCTCGGCAAGGTTGACTCAGCCTTGCATGCCTTCAGTGGGTCGATAAAATGAGTACCAAGCTTGCTTGGGAACTTAACACTGGTAGGTTTCGCGTCAGACTGACCCCCTGACCGTAAAATCTGCTCATGCACCTCAGGGCCCTTGGTCGCGTATACTGAGTTGGGCACAGTAAGCCTTGCCCATCATGAGCTGTCGCGTCACTGAGTTAAGTTATACTATTTTCTTGGAATAATGAAATTTAATTAATGAATAAATAGTAACAAACAAAAAAATAATAGTCTAACACCCTATATAGAAAGGAAAATGGAAAATTATAAAGAAAATCTCTCTTTCTATTTTACCACTTAATATTGTATTTCTGTCATATGTATATACATATTTATATTAATTGTAATTATTTAATAAAAGTAACTAAAATATAAAAAAATTTTCTTTGTTGACCTAAGTAGGAATTGACTTAATTTTTTTTTTTTTTTCTTTTTTTTTTAATTCCTTACCTTTTTAACAAGATGCAACGGAAGTTAAAATTTTAAAATATAAATGACTTTGGAAAGTAAAAAAATATTTCTTAAAAGAAATTTATAAAGTAAGATTCTTGGTTTTATTTAAGTAATAATGATAAAATTAAAAAAATACGTTCTTTTTTCCTTTTAATTTCAAAATTAAAACATAAATGATTATTTTTGATGAAACAAAATAAAATACTGTTAAAAAATAAATACAAAAATAAAGTACTGTTATATTCAAAACTTAGGCCCTATAAACATCCACTGAACAGTTAAAAAGTCAGTTAGAGAGAGATAGAAAAGATTATACTTGTTGATTCTGCAATGAACATCAACGGAAAGTATATGGTTGCATGGGAAATGAATATACATGCATGAATTTCTAAGTCTTTCGGCATTTTTTTATATTAAAGCGTATTCAAATATTTCAGTGACTTATCATTTGAATCTTGAAATATTGCATAATGACTGTGATGATATGAAACTGAACTCCATAAATTTTTTATAATTTTAATTCAAATCACCATATTTAAAATAATGTTCTCTTTAAAAGACAAATTTTATAGTATTAATAGTGTAATTTATCTCTTTCATATTTTTCTTAAGTTCTAGTTATATGTATTATAAAATCACGTACTATTATCAACTGCAATTTGATCATTTCCCCAAAAGTACCCAATAATAAACCTCCACGACAGCATATATAATGAATCCAACATGAATATTTCAACATGCAAATAACAGAGTGGGGATAGAACTGAAATTTTTCCATCAGAGTGTTCGAAAACCTTCCCTCTTCAAAATTCAGTACACAAGAACTGGACAGATGTCTGAATTAGAAATACCGCTTATAAATCATGATAAAAAGAAAGTAAAGAAACAAGGACTAATGTTTAAGAAAGAAAAGGCCAAGATAAGAATAAAATCTAAAACTAAAAGAGACAATAAAAAGAACGTGCTGGCTGTAACTTATCAAACACTTGAAAGTCTCTGACACACAGTAAGGTGAGAAAACCACTAAAAGTCATGATAGAAAAGCTAAACATTAAGTATTTTTAATATCTTCAGTTTATTTAAATTACGAATAGCATTTGATTCTATTAATTTATTACCTATTTTTACACATTTTTTTCATTCACTATCGATATAAGTAAAATACAGAGAGCAATAAATTTTGCATTTTTCTACGATTGTTTTTCATTTCCTACTATTAGTTCACACTCTCCCTATATATATTTATTTTTATACATATTATTCAAATTTTCAATCGTTAACAAAATACTTTTTATTCATCCAATCAAGTTCAAATAGCTTTTTTAAACTTGTAATGGTTTAATACACTTGAGGATAATACAATTTTTTCAAGTATTAATTCACTAATTAAATTAAATTAGTTTATTATAATTTAAGAGATATATTTCAGTCGATATTATTCCTCTAGATGGCAGCACCATTGAATAAAACAACTTTTGTCAAATTTGTGATGTAGATTTAACTTAACCTGAATAAAAAAAATCATATGCTAGTTAGACGTCAGCATTCCTGCTACACTAGTTTTAAGATAAATTCTTTTCTATTATATTCAACTTTTATTAAAACGTGAAATTACAAATTAAATGTGGTTAAAAGTTTTTAATGTTAATTTAAAAGATATTTTGCCACTTAGTATTGTGATTCTGTCATATGTATATACATATTTATATTAATTGTAATTATTTAATAAAAAAATAACTAAAATAATTTTTTTTGTTGACCTAAGTAAGAATTGGTTTTAAAAAAATATATTACTTGTATATTTTACAATTATGGCTATCTAGCTTCAATATGAAATTTTTAAAATTTAAATTGGCTAAATCGTGTGACGTCATAGTCACATAATAACTAACAATAACGGGTTTCTAATCAATCCGTTTATTCGCTTCACCGTAGCAAACTTTTACTTTTCACAGAAACCTTCTTTAAGAAAATGCTTAGTAATCAACAATAATAATGCATATTGGTATGCAAAATGCATTTTGTTTAAATGCATACATAACACGAGAATTGTTCTTTATTTTGAATATCTCTTTGAAGAACCTTAATGTTTGAACATTTTTGCCCAATCATCAAATTTGAAATTTTATCTAAATTCTGGAAAAACAACAGCAAGAGCGAGTCTAATGTCAAATTTAAATTCAACGGAGAACACGGAATCGCATTTATCATGTGACCATCATGATTTTAGCCTATTTCCAATTGAAAAAAATGGTGCTGATCCTTAAAATATGCTAAAAGATATTATTCATATACTCGTATATATCACAATATTGCCAATTTATACCATTCATTACTGTTGTTCGGTTCTCTTTTCCTTCTGATCTATTTCTTCATGTTCATATGTATAATTTAACCCAGGAGCAGGCGCGAACTCGATACTAACGTTAATGGTTGACTAAGTCGCCCCAATCTTTATTTTTATAATTATTTTCATTGTACATGATAAAAGTCGTAATTCTAGTTAATAATTTATCTAAGAGAAAGTATACTTACCTACTTTTAAGGGCTTTTTAATTTTTTCTTTGATAATTTGAGAAAAAAATATCATTCAAATTGAATGAAGAAGTTTCAAATGTGCGTGACTTTAATAAAGGACACAAATTAGACACTTTTCGCTAAAATTACAGGAATGTTGTTTGCAGGCAAAACTGTCATATTTTGTTCCAAGTTATTGTAGTTTTATTGTCCTTTGATGATCGACAAATAGCATGCTGAACCTTTTCTTGCTCGTGTCTTTTTGACAGGGGGAAGAGTGCCTTGTGGTTCACATATGGGTTCATGCTTTTCTTGAGGGAGTTCTTTAGGTAGCATTTGAAAATTTTTCTTTCAACTCTAATCTTTCATGTTCATCGCTTTTCTCAAATTTACTTTCGCTATCGTGATTAATATGCATTAATTCAGCAGGTTCTTCCCTTACTTGATCAGTTTCAACTTCTTACAGTAGAGATCACAAATGCCCATATCTTTTTTTTATATTCGGCTCATTTACGTTTATACAACATGATATAAGTCGTACAACACAGCAATCAAAACCACTTTGTTCACAGTGGGAAAATGTAGCATGTCCATAGAAAATATTTGGGAATAAAAGTGGTTGCTCTCGGTAATAAGTACCTTAATATTGTAAAAAAACGTTTGCCAATCCCAAAAAAGGGAGAGATGAGTGACAATTATATTTTAGTTTCCATGAAGACTGTCATAGCAGGATACTGTCAAGGTCATTGGTAACAAATAAACAGTTTTTCCAGAATTAACGATTTTGTGAACCTGGGGTGATTCTGTGCCCCACACGACCGCTCCCGGGCGAACATTAATTGAATAAAATCATTTTAACATAAAGTAGTGTACAAGGTCTGCTCAAAGTTTTCGACCTTTGCTCAGAAAAGATATCTTAGCTATTTTGCGGGATTGGGATCCTACTCAAATTCAAAGTAGGCCCCTTACGTTTTCACACACTTAGCCCAGCATTCTTCCACTGCCGAAACACTTCTAAAAGGCTTTTTTTTTTTTGGGGGGGGGGCGGGGGCGTTTAACTTTGCCTTTGTGCTCTGCATATCTCATCACTACTCTGAAAACGGGATTCTTTTAAAGACATTTTCATTTTCGGGAACAGCCAGAAGTCGAAAAGGGACAGGTTCAGTGTTGATAGTGTCCAGTAGGTCCAGTGCAACTGCAAGACGAAGTTCTTGCTGTTCCACCGATAGAAGCTTAGAAACAAATTTCGCACCCACTCTGCGTATGATCACACAAAATTGTATGTGTAGAACCTGTACTGATCTCAACTTGTTCAGCAATCTCTAGTACGGTCAAACAACGATCTTTCATTTTCAGATTTTCCACCTTTTCAACAGCAGCTGAATTTCGAATGGTGTGTGGCCTCCCAAAACGCTGCTCACTCTCTACCAACGTGCGGTGACTTTCAAATCGTTTAAATTACTTCCTAGTTTGTGTAACTCTCATACGATCGTCTCCAAACACTAGCTGAATCTTATAAGTTGTTGATTTTGACAAGCCTTGATGCAGTACCTCTGCTCATGCCATTCAGTCACCTTTAAAGAAATAAAAATCCGACAATCTCGTATAACACACAGCACCTCACTCAATTCCTTGCTTGAAACGATTGATAACAAGAACGAAGGGAAAAAATTCAAGCATGCGCATTGTGATGTCATCTCCCTTTGTGCACAGTGGTGCCGCCTTAGAATATCTACTATGCGTGGAAAAATTCAAGGTCGGGTAGTGTTTTATTAGACGTAATTTTATAAATAAGTTATTAACTGTATCTTTTTTCCAAGATGAACTGAATAGTTAAAAAATTACTTCAAAATTGGCAGTTAAATTTAAT